AATCCATCACAGACCGTGACAGACAGGCCCGGGATCCATCACAGACCATGACAGACAGGCTGGGGACCCATCGCAGGCCGTGACAGACAGATCCGGAACCCATCACAGACCGTGGCTGGCAGGGCTTTAGACCCATCACGGACCGTGACAGACAGGCTCGGGATCCATCACAGACCATGACAGACAGGCCCGGGATCCATCACAGACCATGACAGACGGGCTGGGGACCCATCGCAGGCCGTGACAGACAGGTCCGGAATCCATCACAGACCGTGACAGGCAGGCCCGGGACCCCTCACAGATCTGACAGCGAGACCCGGAATCCATCACGGACCGTGATAGAGAAACTGTGGTTCTAAAGCATTTGATAAACGGTTAGCTACAAATGTATCGAAAGAAATTGAACGAGACGATTTTCATTTAACTAGTAACAATAGATTCATCGTGTTTCACGTTTTTAATCCCGCAAGGGTTTGCGCTAACAGCTTCTTTCATTATGTCCATTATGCCCGTCTCCCAGTCAAGTTAAAAAAAAGAAGTTTCCTGGAAACTAATAGAACGCATCAAATCGCGTAGTTGAAGATTATGGTATGTTTGTGAATTCCGCACCTGCTGATATCCACACCCAACTACAAAAAGATAACGTAATGGACATTATTAAATATACAAAAACACATGATGTCAATGCACTATATGCATTTTTGTGCACCACTGGAAGTATTACTCAAAACAAATAAAAACATTCTGCAGAAATGAGAAAACAAAAACGATGACTAAATTTTTTTCTTTAATAATTTTAGTTTATTCTCTTCTATGATCAAAGACAATGGGTGATTTCTTTCAAATTTACTGTAACTAATGATTTTCAGAAGAAAAAAAACACACTCAATTGTCGTTATGACTTTAATTTGTTTAGAAAATAAACACTTAAATAAAGAACAGAGTTATAAGTGCTATAACTATGCATCGCTCATCTCAATGTCATAGTAGCTAAAAAACAAAGCGTTTAGAATGTTTTTTCTTTCTCATGCAAACACTCGTTGAATTACTGCTAGATGTGTATGATTTTATAAAAAGAAATAGAAATACGTAACAGAAAGAAAAATTCGATACCATACCAGCCGAAAACAGCCGATGCTGTTCGGGATGCATGGAATATTATGCAACATATTATGTTAAAAACAAGAATGAAAGCTGTCTTTTTCAACATTCAAACGAAACACAGAATACTATAGGGTGTCTCGTAAGCCATTAGCTAAAGAATAATTTGAATATTTTCACTGGGCTTCAATGGAATGAGGTGATTTTTTTTATCAATGTAGGAGACAATTTCTAGTTTTTATTCACGAATTAATAATATATTTATACACATAAAACTGCTAGTACACTTGCATTCACTATATTACTAAATAATGCACAAAAGTTTTTTTCCTCATAGCGATAGACAAAAATTGTAGGATAGTCTTATATTTATTTGTTAAGCAGCATAGCTGTTGTAAAAGATTTTCACTTTCAGTATTTTTTATCAGTTTAATGAGACTAACGGATATATGTGAGTTTCACATTTAGCACCAACGGGACCAAGCTAACAACCTTTTTGTGGAATTCACATATATTTTCGAAGAAAATCGTGAGTGTATTTTTGAAGTCCAAGTTTTCTGGCTCCCCTCCCCCTCCCCGCCCCCCATTACAGACCTTAGCAATCAATAATAAAAGATGTTAAATTTTTTTCGATTTTTTTTTTGGAAAATTGATCAAGTTATAATTTTTGAAAAATAATGAATATCATTATTTGTGACTTAATTAATATATATGATAGTCTGTAAGGTCTGCTGTAGATATCATAGGTATGTAAAACACACTTATTTGTCAATCAATTCAATGATTATAATAATAAGAATCATAAATTAAGAAAAACGAATAAAAAAACAAAAAATAAAAGATAATGAGCGAGTAGCAACAATGCAAATAAAAAATAGGGTGCCCATAGAAAAAAGTTTAAAAAACATTCTGTTCGAAATTAGAGAGACTCTTACTCTTGCGATTGATTATCCTGCAAAACAACTATTGTCTAAGAGAGATTTTTCAGTTTACATATTTTGTATTAGTTGAATGAGGCTAGAGAGCATATGTGAGTTCCACATTTTAGCATCAACGGGACTGCGCTAACAACCTTTTTGTTCATTATAGATTAGCATGACATGGCAATAAATAATAAATACTTGAAAGATATCGATTTGGATCATGATTGGAAGTGTTATTGTCAACAATCAAACGATAAAACTGATATAAAAACTATCATTTCAAATGCAAATAGTATTAATACAAATCAACGATGGTCTTCTACAAAATTACCACATATTACTACTGATATTGTTGATGATGATAGAAGACCATGTAAATGGTGGTATTGTAAAAAAATTGATTGGGCATTAAATAATCATACATCGGAACTAGAAACATATCTCGAGTTTGAATTACCGAATAAACATGATAAAATATCTAATATCAGTGTTACTATATGGTTTAATGGTACAGAGATATTTTCAGGTTGTTTGCCATTACTAAGAAATCCAATTAAATTATGTTCGAAATTATTATCTAATGAAAATAACCATGAAAATATTTTAGTTATCTGTTGTGCTAATACAAAATTTACACTTCATCCTCATATCCGTCTCTATGGTAAAGTTATTTATGCTATGGGACAAGTAATAACACATGAAAATAATCTTAATGAATATAAAGATTCCAATAGAAATGGAAATGATATTTTAGATTATAAGGTTAATGTTGATGACGTTGATGGACGCATTGATATAACATTTAATCCAAAACCAAAATCAGAAAGTTTATTCATACCATCATCACCTTTAGAACAATCAGGTCAATCCATAAATCATGATAATGAAACAAATGAAGTTAACAATCTTGATAATGATCTTCTTGTACCTCGTCTAACTATTTTAATACTTGTTGTTGGTACAAGAGGTGATGTACAACCATTTATTGCGTGAGTTAAAAGAAATTTCTTTTTTATTTCATCTTTTGAAATTCGATTTTATATCTTCAGTCTGGGTCAAGCGCTTCGAGTTAATGGTCACCGTGTTCGATTAGCAACACATGAAATATTTCGATCATTTGTTCATGACAATGGTCTAGAATTTTATCCATTAGCTGGTGATCCAGCTGATTTAATGTCATTTATGGTAAAAAATGCTGGTATTATTCCATCATTAGATAGTATTGTCAAAGGTGATGTTAAAAAACAACGTCATTCTGTTGCCAAAATTCTTGTTTCAACATGGGAAGCATGTATTAAAAATGATGATGAAACAGGTGCACCCTTTCAAGCTGAAGCTATCATTGCAAATCCACCATCATTTGGTCATATTCATTGTGCAGAAAAATTAAAAATTCCTTTACATATGATGTTTACAATGCCATGGTCACCAACAACTGCTTTTCCACATCCATTATCAAATGTTAAAAATTCAATTGGATCAAGGCATAAGATTAATTTATATTCTTATGATGTGATTGAAATGCTTGTAAGTTAATAAAACTGTCAAAGAAAAAGATTTTTTTAATTTAAATTTGATTCAATAGACGTGGACTGGTATTGGTCGTATTGTGAATAATTTTCGTACGAAAATATTAGGTCTTAGAGAATTGCATACACGTCAAGCAATACATGCATTAATTGGTGAACGTGTACCACATACTTATTGTTGGTCGCCATCGCTTGTCGAAAAACCAAATGATTGGGGTTCACATATAAATGTTTCGGGCTTCTTTTTTCTTAATCTTGGTATTGCTTATACTAATCCACCAACAGATTTACTTGAATTTCTTGGTATCGATAGGGATGGCAATCAACATGACCCTAAATTATCACTACCAATCTATATTGGTTTTGGTTCTATTACAGGCCATGATTCTCGACGTATTTTTCAAATCGTTTGTGATGCTCTTAATGAAACTGGCTATCGAGCTGTATTATCAGGTCTTGCTATGGATACAGATCAATTACCTTCTACTATATTTAAAATCGGTGATGTACCACATGATTGGCTTTTTCAATATGGTAAGTATAATTTTGTCATTGTTATTACTTAGATATATTATCAATAATTGATCTAATTTGTAGTATCAGCTGTATGCCATCATGGTGGAGCAGGTACAACAGCAGCTGGTCTACGAGCTGGAAAGCCAACAATTATTGTACCTTTTTTTGGTGATCAATTTTTTTGGGGTGATGTGATCGAAAAAAATGGCGCCGGTCCATGTCCGCTTCCTGGAAAATCAATTACGGCCACACTATTAGCTGAAGCTTTTCGTTTCGTTCATCAACCAGCAGCCCGTACTGCTGCTGAACGCATTCGTGATGCTATTTTGAAAGAAGATGGATGTGCAGCAGCAGTCCAGGCATTTCATAGTAATTTACCATTAAGAAAGTTGCATGGCGATTTAGAACCTACATTTGCTGCTTGCTATCACGTGAACAAATATAATTTACAAATATCACGTCCCGTTGCTCAAGTACTAGTAGCAGCAGATGCCTTAGAAGAATCTGAACTTCATCATCATGCCACACGAGAATGGCAATTTATGCATGATAATCGTATGCATTTACTCACTCATGGTTTGGTTGAACATTCACAAAAAGCACTTTCAAGTATATTTATCAATACTGCTGAAGATTTGAAACGTGTTGTCAACAAAAAAAATGATCATACAACTATACGAATACTTGAAGGAGCTGGAAGTGTTGCTAAAGGTGTTTGTCTAGGCTGTGGACATCTAACCATTGGATGCCTATCATTGTATGGTGAATTGACTGATGGACTTAATTGGGCCACATCAATTTATTATCCACACAGGTAAGTTTTTTTGTTTTTGTAATGATTTTTCTACGTTAAGGAAATAATGTGAAATTCTTTCTAGCGAATTCAAATTACGTCAACAACATCATGTCACTGATTTCAAATCGGGTGCTAAGGCTGCTGGCCTTTCTTTATGGAATGGTTGGAAAGGTGGCGTTACAGGCATTATAAAACAACCACGTGCTGGTTATGAACGTCACGGCGTATTAGGTGGTGCAGCTGGATCATTAATGGCTACAGTGAATATTGCTATGAAACCAGTAGCGAGCATGCTCGCATCCGTTACTTGGTTAAGTCGAGGTACTTATGCCGGTGTGAGAAATGTAGTAGAAGCCTATAGAAATGAAGGAAGACGTATTTCAACCAACCTAGTTAATGCAGCATCATCAACTAAATTTGATGGACAATATGAAGAAAATGGCGATGAAGAAATTTCAGCGGCCGCTCAGAAAGCAGCAACTAGATCAGGTTTTCATCCAAAAGTATGTCAATGTATTCTTCATGAATTAGAAAAAATTAAAATCGAACGAGAGCAAACTATGGCTCCTTCACCAAAGAAAAAGTCAAATATAACCAATTTCTTTTCCAAGACCGAATAAATATTTCAAACATTTGTACATTTATTTAAAGATATACATTCTGATTTATAATGATGAATCAAGAACAATATATAATATATTGACTATCAACTTTACAATTGATTTTTACTTGTTTTTCTTATCGCAATTTTTTTGTCTGAAAAAGAAATTATGTCTTGATAATGTGGATGTTGTATGTGAGTGTGAGTGTGAGTGTTGTGTATGACTGTACGGAGTGTGGGGTGGATGTTGTGTGGGTGCTGATTCTCCTTTCACCAAAACCCATCCACCCTCACACCCACACTCATACCCTATTACCAGCAAACATGTGAGCAACTGAACGATTTTTTGATGTTGAAACAAATAACCGATTTAATATGAGTACCGATACTATAGCGTTTTAAATCATTTTCTGTCATTAATAGACCGGAGTGTGGGTAGATGTTAGTATGGGGGAATAGACTACTGAAACCCACACACCCCCACCACCCACATCCACCCACTCACACCCAAGCACCTATACACACCCATATCCACACTCACACAAATCCGTACACCGACACCCACACTCCACCTGACCCATTTTATAAATTTCAATATAGTTGTAAATAATAAAATAATAATTTGAAGTAATCATTAGTAAACAAATAAAAATAACAATTTTATATATTATACCTAACTGATAATAAATCAAGAAAGAGCAAAAGAATTAAAAATGAAGGATAATACAACCTGTCTAAAACGTAACGATTATCATAAGATTTATATAAATCAATTTGTTCACGAAATTGTTGACGTTTTTGTATTAAATTGTCACCAACCAATAACCACTCAATATAAACATAATCTTGAATTTCATCGTGAAAACAAAATAAGTTGGATTCTTTTAGAAATAATTCTTTTTTCATCCATTCGCTATTCATCATAGGATGATAATGGATATGACATATTTCTATATGATTGTAGTGCGTTATCGATGAGAAATATTTGAATAATTTCACTGCATCCATGATAATTTGCAACATGTAATACTACATTTCCACGAGGCCCCAATAGATTTATCATTTTAATATTATTATTTCAATTGAAATATTTTTCAATTTGATTATTTTGACGAAAGTCAGATAACTTCAAATTGAATATCATTGCTTGTTCACTATTCTCTGTCATCTGACAATCAAAAATAAATATCGTGACCATAGGCAGTGCGTTAGTGCTATAAGGGATAGCAATTGTTATATCTAAAAAAATTTGGAAAAGCAACAGAAACTTATTGCTACCTTACTGTCTCCCATTTATCGATATTAGTATGAAGTAAGACTTATATTTCAATGTAAATTTGCCGCTCATATTTATATGAGCAACGTATCACAAGAGTAATATGTCCGATTGCTTTTTAAAGAAACTTATCCTGTGTCATCCATGATAGTGACTGGACATCTCTGATTTAATAAAATAAAAAAAGAACTCACTATTACAATAGTGAGTTTTCCTTCTTTTATTATAAGGTGCGAATAATATATGTTGATGTCAAAAAACTGAGTTTTAGAATTTTAAAAGTCATATTTTGAATTTTCTAACCGAAATAGTTTTTCAAACAATGTCATGAGACGAGATATTCGATGCAGAATACAACACTCTGCTGAGGATGCTACTCAGTTTTGGTTTTCGTAACTATGAACAATTTGTAGATTCTTGTATAATTTTGAACTTTCTATGCAAATGATGAAATTTCCTTTGGACGAATCTATATTTTTCTTGTGTAAAATGATTAACTACGGACAACAAACTTATTCTTATAAAATTCAAATATTTCTGAGCATCTTACATGTCTCAAAATTCGTAGGATAATCGAAGAATGTTGCCACAGCGTAACGATGTCATATTTGTAAAAGGTGGAATAGATGCAAGACAGAGTACCCATTGAATTTTAAGTATATTATAATATTCACGATATAGATTGTGTGAAGCGAACAAAGAACGAATCGATTGAAATGTTTGTCGAATTCGACGCATGTCGAAAAGACGATATCCGAAATATTGTTTCGAATAGACAGACCTATGAGCCAATGGAAAAGATTGCTGACATTGACAGATAAACTGAGAGTATTGACATATCTTTTTTTGAAAAGTTCAAATTCGATTTTTGGCTTAAAAGTTATAAGTTGTAAAAGTTTAATAGTAATAAAAATATAACTGGTTAGTAGTATACGAAGATAATCTACTGCTTAGCTGCATATCGATCAGTTAAGTTCCGATCGAGTTCTAAGAAAATACTATTATCTACAAGTGACAATGACGCTGAACATTTCTCGTACAACCAGAGGAGAAACATGTTTTTTTCTTATTCAGTACTTCAGCTTATCTGTTGATTTTTTCTAAGTAAGTATGTTTTGTGAAGTCAAAGTCTTTGCAAAGAAAATTATGTTTGATAGTGTTTGTAGATTTTGGTATCAAAAGTTGAATTTTTATTTTCAAGTAGAAGTGATAGCAGAGATAGAATTGCTTTCTATCGTAAAGGATGAAATTTCTCATTGCTCAAAACGGTTTCTTTTCTACACATATTGATTCGTGCGAACTGTGTTCGAGGATGTGGGTGCGTGAGTATTATGCCTCTTGTAATCTACATCCACATCCATACGCAGTTATTTGTATAAAATATTTATTATGATAATATCGCTAATAGTCATATAACACTGTTGAGTACATTGACAATTCATTCTTTGGAACATGAAAGTGTAAATAAATAAATTCTGCAGACAAAAAATAAAACTCTTCTATCATTCATATTAATGGCAAATTATCCAAAGGACATTGAATAGAAAATTTCTCTAGATATGTTTCAATACAATGCAAATGGAACCTATGTGTACACGGTAACGATTTCATCTGCTGTCCAAGAGTATATATTTCCATGCAAATAGTACAAAGTTCATTTAAATGAGTTTCATTAACATTGATTGTTGAGAATGTGTCGAGAAGATTTTTACCAATGGTTCTACGTTGTATACATTCATCTAGTCTTAATAATATTTCGTAATCATTGGGAGAACTATATAAAAATACGAAAATAAGTTTTAAAATAAACAACCTATAATACTTACAGATCACGATTTTGCATGTCGAGAAGCACAGTTGTCATATTATCATCAAACTGGGATTGATTTTGAATATTATATTCATTAAGGGTATAATCTTGAAATTGATAATTAACTACATTATCATAACATAGAGGATTATATACACTAGATTCGAAGTCTGTATATGAACATGATGAGTACGAATGTTCATAATACTGAAGTTGTGGATCACATAAATCAATTTTATCGAATCGGCAATATGCATACAATTTTTTATTACCTGATTTAATTTTAATGGATTTTGCATGTTTTGTTTTAATCTGACGTCGTGCACGTTTTTTTCGATTGCAGAGTTTTGAACGCTGATAAGGTTCTTGCTCATAAAAATTAGCTAAATTTAATTGTTTTTCAGTAAGATGATTATGAATATATACATCACCATTACTGTCATCATAAGAATACTCTAAATTATTATCGTCATCATCTGAACTATTTTCTTCTTCGAATAAGTTTTGTTCAGACCTAAATGAAATAACAAAAAATAAACGGAAAAATCAAACGATATGTAAAAAATAACCTACCTAGAATATTCTATTCGAGCTGTTGATGTGGAGGATGCTTCAACAACATAATCGTCAAGATCATTTTCTTGATCATAGCTATTACTATTTGACTGATTACTAAATGAATTCACATCTTGTTTGATGGATGCAGACGGTGCACCAATGATTGTAACCATGGATGGCTCAAAAAGAAGCATTTCTACATTTTTATATGCCTCCCTGAGTTGGAAATAACACAGATGACGCGTCTAGGAAAAGATCAACACATGTAATAAAAGCAAAAATGACGACTTCTTACATCATCTCGATATAAGAAAATAATATGACTCATCAACCAATTCGATACTTACATAGAACGAACAAGAAGTAATTTCAGAATGATACGTACCGATAGAGGGGTGTGCGTGTTGGTGGGTGTGAGCGTGGGTATGGGTGCTGCTGTTGCTATCGATGGGTGTTGGTATGGGTTCCAGTTACAAGTACAACTCCATCCACACCCCACGTCCACCCACACCCTCAGATTCCCAGACAATGGATTTTGCCGCTCTTGTCAAAATTAAATTTAAAAATTTTTCAACGCGTCAATGTTGTCATTCGAAAAAAGTAGTTATGTGTTCTGATAGCGCTTGAAATCCTCTATCATTCTACGTATTTTCTAACTATCTAGCATTGGTGTGCTGGAGAATAATTGTAATATTACTTTGATACACTCGTTGAAAAATTCTAAAAAGAAGTAGCGTTATTTTTATTAACTCTCTCGCTTACTGTTCCAAAAGTACACGATGATAGAGAATTTCAAGCTCTACCAGAATATATGGTAACTTTTTTCAAAAATTAATTTTAAAGTTCTGAAAATATTAGAAATCTAATTTTGATGACAGTGACAAAATCAAGTATTTCGGAATTTATGAATGAGGGTGTCTTCATTACACTCAATTTATTTTAGTAATTCATAAATGCAAACTAAAAGTTAAATATAGTAGGTAATAGAAAACTCCATGCACTCTTAAAATATATTATTGTTCTTTCAAAGATATGGTTTTATGGTAACAAGGAGGGTGTGAGTGTGGGTGTTGTGTGGATTCTGATTCTCCTTTCACCAAACCCCACCGACACCCATACCTACCATGCACATCAATTCGAGGACGGCAGATCATTAGTCTCTCATAATATTCAAAAGGAAAGTACTATCCTTTTGGCGTTCCGTTTGAAGGGTGGGAAGCCTATCATGCGTCTTGGTTCATCGAACAATCAGATCATCTCGAATTTCAGCGTTCGTCCTCATCTGGCGAACAACGTTTAAAATTTCTCAAGCATGTATCCAGAACCGACAAGTACCGATCGAATCTCATTTATCGAATAGAAAAACATTGAAGTGCATCCTGATGAACGATTACATATCAACAAGGATTTGAAAATCAAGCAAAGTGGGTTAGGCCATCAATAGAATAATCAGTTATCAACACGTATTCATAATTGCAGATCGTTTGTTTCCGACGATTGTTGATGAAGAGCATCATAAAATGCTCTTCTGAGAAGCATTGACAAACTACAATACCACATCAAATTTCAATTTAGACAAAGGTTTTTGCGTACTTCAACAGGACTTTTCTCGTATTATCAACTATCTTCTCAAACAAAATGACATTCTCATTGGAAGATCGCGATGATATGATCACCTATATTCTTTCACATCTTCGAGGGCTGGCCGATATCCCCCAAAACCGAGAAATCGTTCCCATTTCAGCAGAAATCCTTCACCCCACACAAAGTCAAGCAGAAACGCTTTTATACAGGAAAACAGAGCAACATATAACAGTAATGGAAAAGTTTCCAGTAGAAATGCATGGAACGTTTCTTCTTTCCTTAACACAAATGTATTATTATACACAAGAAGAAATGCATAAAATGTATTCATGATGTAAGCAGAGATGAATAAGATTATTTTTCATCTTTAGGAGAATTCGTAGCAGAAACCGATTTTATACAGTAGAAATGGAAAAATTTGTCGGGGAAATGGATGAACCATTCCTCTTTTCTCAAGTAGAATGGTATGATAAGTAAGGAGAAATAGAGTTGGGAACGATTTCCCCATCGATGGGTCATATCGTCCACTGCTCACATCTTGACGAGGTAGACCCGAATTATGAGATCAAATATATTGCCTTTCGCTTTCTCACACATCATGAATATTCATCAGTGACTCAACTCAGTATTTGACCAGCATCTCAACGAATTGTTCGCGCTGTTCTTCTGTTTTGTCTGCCTGACGATTAGACAAACATCTCAACTATTAACGAAATCGACCAGTTCTTGAAGAATTCGACAAATAATCATGAGCAATCGATCGGCGGTCTTAACGTGTATGAATGGGATTCGAGGTTTCTTCATTATTTAATAAATTGTCGATGGAATTGGAATACTATGCATTTATTTACGTGTATTTTTTCTGTTCTTGTTGAAAGAAAAACTATGTTAAGTTTAGAAAAGAAATCCGTTTTTTTAAGCTTATTCATATTACAATTCCTGATCGACTATTTCGATTAGAATCGATTCAGAAGAATAAAAGAATGTGGATGGGTGTGAATGTTGACCTTCTCTGCATGAAAAAACACCCAAAATCATACTCTTAACGCGCTTTCACGGAGCAAAAGGTAAGATATTTTTTTCATTGAATAGATAAAATATATAGTGTTTTTAATAGTTTACTGTCGTTTATAGATCTCGTCTAACGCAGAGTCGTATATTGTCTTAAGATTAGAGCGTATACGAGTAAGAGAACTGATAACATAAAGAGCTCTTTGTTTTTGTATTATTATACTGTCATACCTGTCACACGTGTCATTATTCAAATTTGTCTGCATTTCGTCTCATTTATACAAATGATTCATCGGATGCTTTCATTACTGAAAAAGTACGAGAACAACAAGTAATTGAATATTTTGCAAATCATTCAGTATTTAATGGCTTCTCTTATATGGTGCCAAGGTTAGGTGAAAGTATGAATTCGTTACTGAACAAAACAGCACATATTTTAATGCTCGAACGATTTGATGTGATTATTGCTACTGCAACAGTCATTGGTGTTAATATTTTATGTAAGGAAACAAACACACCATGTGTGATACAGAGTGCCGAATCATTTTTTAACATGTTTGATATTAACCTACCTAATAGTTACTCGTTACTATCCACAAAACAGATAACCGAATTTAGATATCGTATCTATAATATTGCTTTTACTTTACGTTTAATAATGGCAATCTATAATAGCTTGATACAATTGTTTTATACCATTGCTCAATCATTTCCACGAATACCAGGACCATTTTATGAAAGTTTTACATTAAGAAATTTGTTATCTACAAAAACCAAAAGCTTGCAATTGATCAGTGTGTCACCAACATTCTATCCACCATCGTATTCACATCACTATACAAAATATCTTGGTCCATATATAGATGAATCGTCCATCAATGATATTGACAATCATCTTACAAAATGGGTCAAATCCAAGCCTAGTAAATCAATTATCTATGTGGCTTTCGGTAGTACGGGCATACTTGAATTCGATCGAATGAAAAATTTGATTTATGGTCTAGCTGAATTTATACTACAAACAGATGTTGCTTCGGTCTTGTTAGCATTTCGTAATGTCAATTATGATATGTATCAAATTGTGGTGAATAAAATGAAAAATGATGAATATCGACATGTTCTATTGGATAATCAACGCGTTCAAATTGAAAATCAATTTGTTCAACAAAAATGGACTTTAAAACAGAAATCAGTCAATTTGTTCATAAGTCATTGTGGTATGGGTTCAAGTTTAGAAGGACTTTATTTTCAAAAGCCAATATTATGTTTGCCGTTACATACAGATCAATTTATGAATGCCATGACAATCGATCATTCTGGAGTCGGACAATCGTTATTTACACCACCATCATTATTACAATCATTGAAAAATCCACATGACTTTCATGATTATACATTTTCAGCCACTAGTGTAGCAACGAAATTATCGATGATGTGGAAAAATATGACATACGAAAAAGCAATTCGAATCATGTCACTTGAAATGAAACATGCTGGTGGTGCGAGACAAGCTGTCCAGGAAATTGAATTTTTTGTAAATTTAAACGGCGATTTAGATCGGTATGCGCCGTTCAAGAGTACATTATCGTTCTATCAGCAATATATGCTTGATATACTAATCATTTATGTTGTTCTACCTGCTACGATCATTATCTATTTATTTGGCAAATGTTGCAGTCGAACTCGAAAGGAAAAACGAGATTGATTGATGAAAATACACCATAAATTCTGTGAGAATAGAGAAAAGTGTTGCCGAATGTGGATGTGGGTTTATGTACCTCTGTAAGTGTTCGTGTAACTGTGGATGGAAAGATGAGCATAAACTCGCAACCTTAATCATATTCAAATCCGCACATAAAAAAATCATGCTGATAATGCATCAAAGAGCTATTTCCTATAATTGAAAGCATGAAAGCATTGGCAATTTTCTGCTCATGTAAAACGTGATAGTGCTGATTCGAATTCATTTCTATTTTAGAAAACGCTATTTATATGAAGTGGGAATTGGATGATGTAATTTAGAAAGGAAGGCTTTTTTTTGTAGAAATATGTATAATGATTCAAGTTGGAGATGAAATTGCTACCATCGGTTATCTATTATTATTGAAAGTTAACTCTTACTCAACCACTCATACTCCCTTGCATCATTTCTCTTCAAAAAATATGACGAAATCCAGAAGAATAATGTTTACAGATTAAATCTTGCGCAATACCGTAAAATAGTATAAAATGAGGTTCTTTCTTACTATTACTTCGTTTTGTAGTGTAATGGTAACATACTCGATTAGGAATTAAGTGATCACGGTTCGATTCCGTGCAAAACCACCAAGCTTTCTTCGTAATTTCTCGAACTTTCTAGCTCGAGACTATATACACCGGTTTTCGGCTCATCTCATACATTAAAGCAACTCTACTACCGCTTTCTATTCAGAAAGTGCTCTTGAGCTTGTCTGAGAGTGTCGATTACCACCAACGGCTATGTTCACTTGTCTCGTCCGTTTGAATATTAAATACGAACGACAGTACATAGAGTTGGTGGCGAATTTTCGGACCATATTGACGATGACCAATATAGAAAGAAACACGTATGCTGATCGCAGATCTTTTTTTCTTATTTTAGTAGTATGTAGGATATTTGCGTTGTCCAATTTCAGCTTGATGCTTCTAAGACTGTGCAGTTACACAATCGAAAGCTATTTGTCTACATCAATAAAATAAATTCGTCGAACCAACAATCAGTGTCTGTTTGCTGAAAAGAAACGCTTGCTGCTCTACATCACAGCTCAAAATAATTAATTATTTTCGTGTTACAAAAGTGAAGCAGACTAAAGAAATACCGTAGTTACGAAGTTAATAATGCCAAGTAAAGCTCGTAGATAAATTGATACGTCAATGATTATCATCTTTTCGAGCGGGTTAATCTCATCGTATTTCTATAATAAAAATCGATTAGCATAAATAGTCTAATTAATCCTCACTCACTTGATTGCATTGAAATATGATAGAGATAATAGTAATAAATCAATATGAATCGATCTCTTCTAGGATCAAAATCCAGTTGAATATTCGAACTCTTCCAATATTGCAAGTATCTAATGAAAACTTGAATATGTACACAGTTTACTCATGTCATAGTAAGAGAATAGTGTAACTGTACATGCTGATAAATCAACAGCAAGCATGCCATGTTTTATTTAAAACAGTGTAATATTTATAACACGATACTAATTCCATTATGAAATATTCTACATCGTAAGACTATCAAAATAAACATTGAAAATGTTCATCATTTTTTTATGCGAACGCTACGTATATTGGTCTTATCAAGTGATTCACATCGATGCATAAAAGAAATGTCAATTTAATGTGCACTATTTCGATTTGTTCTTTCATGCAGAGAAAAACGGTGTATTGCCATGCAGAATACTTGAATGACACCTTCATATGCACAGAAAACATCTCCATTAACTAATGTAGAATGATGCACTTTAATAATCTTCACCAACATTTTCTTACTAGCTACCGAAAAAAAAATCAAGACAGCAAATACTCTGGTTAACGAACACTGAATCATCAATAATTCATAATGATGTCCAAAAAGCTTCCAATGTTATTAAAACAGAAAACTTTTGAAAGAATACTATGTGCAGAGTAACAAACATCTATCAATATCGATTAAATGCATAAGCTGAAAATCGTCTCATGGCAGGCGAACTTTAATGATGATTTTTCCGAGGCCCTATCTTTTCATCTTCATCTGCCGTCAAATTTATTCTTTTGATTGAAATTATTTTTCGTGTTTATTGAGCTTTGTGCTTCTTGAAGATCATTCGTATGATTTTGTTACTAGCATATCTTTTGACGATTTACAAACACGACATTACAATTATTTTTCAACAGAATATTATTTTCTCTAGTTGTGCAGTACTGTAGTCATGAAGACCACCTTCTTATAAAAAATTTACGGCCAAGAATAAACTCATGAGGAAGTTCTACTGATGCGTACATCGTTGGATTTATGTGACTAGGAGTGTAGGCACGCCTATGCTTGTGAGTCTAACCGTGGCTCAAATTTACACTTCAAACACACTCACATCCGACAATATCTATCATTCTTAACGATTGATTAATCAATTATGTTCAGAACGCAATAATTTCACTAGCAAATCGATCTTCCATTGAACTACATGAATTGTTGATAACTTATTTTGGTTAATATCGAAACTTAATCATCTTTCGATACTAAACAGTGTCAATGGTAAGTAGCAAGCTATTAAGCTTTATGTGGAAGCTCGATTGCATCACAACATTTGACAAAAGTTACTATGACACTTATGAGTAACAAATAGCGAACGTATGGATTTGAACACATACATTTAAACGGTTTAACAATAATATTGTTGAGGGTCAGACGAAAACAAGACATACAAACGGAGTTATTTTATTTTTGATCTATTTTATAAAAGAAATGACTACTGCGATGTGCATAGATATCTACACCTACATTCGCCAACCATTCTCTAAGTACCTCAGATTCCTTAAGAAATAAACAGATGGTTTTATCAAAAACTTACCACTATCGCGCCGCCATGAACATTTCTGGTACCTTCATAATTTTTGTATATAAAAGCATATATTCAGAAAAGTACAACATCAGTAAAAATCCATGGATAAGAAAATTATTCAAGAAAATTGACAAATAGTATAAGAACTTTGTTCTTTAAATAAATTTCATATATCGCAGAAAAATTAAAAAGATTGACATTCACTTAGCCATGAAACTGCAATTGTAAGAAAATAAAACAATCATTAAAAATACGTGTAGATAGCAGTTCCACCGCAACAAGAAATATTCTGCATCTCACGATGATTCGCAACTTTAGAAAAAAAAAACATTTGTAGGAATAATGTTTCAAGCATAAATTAGAAAATAATGCAAAAGACTCTTTCTAGTAGCTTCATCCGATGATATTATTATAATCTATTTGAAGATTATGCCTACTTTTGAAAACACGAGTTTCGAAAATGCATTCAAAACTAACTACCCTTAAAAACATAGAAAATAATTTTTTTTATCTATTAATACTAATATTTAACATTTAACATTGAACTTGATGAGCATAATGTGGCAGTTAAGCAGTGCAACAGCCATCAATGTTTCCAATTTTTTTGTCAACAAGAAAAATTTATTTAAAATTGAAGCTCACATTCTACTGAATGGACCACCCGTTATTTCATTTTTAACTTCGCACGACTTCACCCAGCACAAATTACCAAAATTATAAACTATTCAATAGGTTTTCGTCTTTTTGAATAATATAATTTTTTTTTGTTATTACGATACTCTTCTATTGAAATATAAGCTTCAACATTTTCCAAAAGTCTTTTAATTCGTATATTATTATTAATGTTTGTAAAAAATGTATTAGTTCTTATCGATTTTTCATTTGTTTAAATCTTACACATTGATTTGTTTAAATAAATGTAGAAAACTGTGATTACACTGTAAGATTATGTTTTTTTTTTTTTTAATTTAGTCAAGTGAAAAAAAATCATTTTCTGTTTACTAAAGCTATGTCTTTATTATGGCATATCACCAATAAACACTCGAACTAAAATAACAAAAGAAAAAAAATTCTGAAGTAAAAAAGAAATCTAGAAAGCACCATTTAGAAAAAGAAAAATCAACAAAATAATTAAGGATGAACAAGAAACGAATAGGAGTGACCAATTTGTTGAATAATCAGAAGTTTTTGTTGCACCGATAATTGTGTATATGTTAATAAATTAATATCTTCATTAAATTCTTTTGAAAGCATACGTTTTGATTGAAGTTGATTAGTAAAATATTTTAATTCATAAAGTAGAGAAATCAAACGACCACATGTTAAATATGTCATATTTGTTTGATTATTATCATTTTCATTATGAATTTTTTCGGTTACAATTAATTCATAATCATTCATTGTTAATGCTGGTATTTCACTATTCAAAATAAGTAGATGTTCAATTTCTCGAATTTTACGTATTATTCTTTGACGAAGTGTTGATAAACCATATTTTCGTTGTTTAAGGACTCTATTAGAAACGATATTTTTTGTTGAAATAGTTAAAAATGTAATTAATAATATAGCAGGAATAGTAGCAAGTAAACTAAAATTAATTTGATTTTGTTTCATTAATTGATCTATTTGAATAACTAAGCCTTCACCATCAACTTTTACTTTTTGAACTTGAATTAATATACCTAAATAAATTGAGAAAAAAAAACTCATTTTAATTATGAATAAATATCTGTTAGATAATTAATAAAGAATTGATAAAATTTCGTAGCAGCGAAACCACAAATAACATGCGGTGCAAAAGTCTTTGCACAAATGTTCGACTCTATTAGACCATATTGCCAACTTCTAAACCAATCAAATTTTTTTTTGTTGGAAAGAGCAATGTCTGAACTACAAATTTTGTACCAGACATATTTTTCCAAAATGAATCTCAGAAGGAGGAAAAGGGAAAAACCAAATACCTCCAAAAAAATTCTTGCAACTTCGGTATCGCGCAATATCATTTTCTCTTTTTTGTTATTTTTTTTATATCAGAAGAGAAACGGAAAAATACGTTTAATGATGATTTTTGTAGCAAAAAGAGTGCTCTTTCC